GTGATCACACAGGCTGGTGTGCTTCTTCCATGTGGGTTTTGTTGCTTCTGAGCTAGATGGCATTTGTTTACCTTCAAGCCTTTAAGACCCCAGATGCTACATCTTTTTATAGCTGGGCACCATCAGCTTTAATTTTTTCTGTTTCTAAAATATTTTTGCTTTCTTTTAGATTGAGGTTTTTCTCTGTTTTACTTTGTTATTGTTCTTAGTTTTTGTTTTTAATGTTTTTCTGTCTATGAAGTCCAGGATAGGTAAGTCTATGGAGACAGTACTGGATTAATGGCTCCTTGAGAGTACAGCAGGGGAGAGTGGGAGGCAAATGGGGAGCTAATACTGAGGAGGACAAGAATGAAGAAAATGTGCTAAGTCTGGGGTCTTAAAGATAAACAAGCAGCCAACTAGCTGAGACGCAACAAAGTTCACATGGAGGAAGCACACCAGCTGTATGATCCAGAGTTTCCATTGAAGGGATCAGGTAGCAGGCATCAAAGACCCAGAACAAAAAATCATATCATTGTGAATGAGGGGGAGTGCGGAGTGGAGACCCAAAGCCCATCTGTAGACAATTGTACATCCCTTACAGAAGGGTCACAAGAAGAGATGATCCAGTCAGGATGCAATATAGCACTGATGAAATATACAACTTTCCAAATAAAAAGAACTATCTAGTTTTTTAATGCTTCCTCCCACCCCACTGTCATGACCCCAATTCTACCTTACAAATCCAGCTAGACCAGAGCATGTACACAGGTAGATGAGATAAGAGCTGGAACACAGGGAATCCAGGACAGATAACCCCCTTAATTCCCAATAATGAGAATAGTGATACCAGGAGGCTAAGGGGAAGGTGGGGGGAGAAAGAGAGAACCGATCACAATGATCAACATATAACCCCCTCCCAGGGGGATGGACAACAGAAAAGTGGGTGAAGGGAGACATTGGTTGGTGTAAGACATGAAAAAATAATAATTTCTAAATTATCAAGGGTCCATGAGGAAGGGAGAATGAGGAAGGGAGGGAGGGAGGGGAAGAAAATGAGGAGCTGATACCAAGGGCTCTAGTAGAAAGAAAATGTTTTGAAAATGCTGATAGCAACAACATATGTACAAATGTGCTTGACACAATGGATGGATGTGTGAATTGTGATAAGAGCTGTATGACCCACCAATAAAAGGATTTTTTTTAAAGCAGCGATCGGCGTAAGATATGAAAATAATAATCCTTAAATTATCAAGGGTTAATGAGGGAGGGAGGGTGGAGGACAGAGGAAAAAATGAGCAGCTGATCCCAAGGGCTCAAGTAGAAAGAAAATGTTTTGAAAAGGATGATGGCAACATATGTACAAATGTGCTTGACACAATGGATGGACGGATTGTGATAAGAGCAGTAAGAGCCCCCGATAAAATGCTTAAATATTTTTAAATAAAGAAAATATGCTAAAACTGATTGTGGTGATAATTTACAACTCTTCTTGATATGATTGAACTATTGTATTGTATGACATGTGAATTAAATGACAATAAAAGTGAAAATATAAAGGAGGTAGGGTTGACAAGTAAAGATATATATTGATACAGAAATAGCCAGGTAGTTATAATGGGAGGAATCCTCAATTAGCCTTAATCTATCATGTTTTAAGAACTTAAATCCTCAGTATATAACTACAATAACAGCAATTTCATTTTTTATATTCTACCAAATATTTGTCAGATGAGGAAATTGAAGTTAGAGAAGTTAAATAACTTAACCAAAATCATACAGCTTATATGTGGTCTTCATTCCAATGTTGCTAAATGGCCTTTCCTCTAAAGCTTTTTACAGTATTCATCAATGATGTTCATTATTTTGCAAAAGAAATCAGCTTTTGCTTATAAATAATAGGGCACAGAAATAATCCTGCATGATCCCAAGCTCACTGGAGACCACTCTTCAGGGACTGGTGTATTACAGTGCTCTTTTTCGGCCCCCACTTGTGTAAATTGTAGGATCTGAAGTTGTTGGTCAGAAAGCAAACACAATGGCCTGTGTGGAGATTCTGAACTATCTCTCCATCCCAGGGAATCTGGTTTTATCTGAAGAAGCTAATTTATCTTGACTTTTTAATTCGTGGATGTAAAGGCTCCTGCCTGGTCAGAAGAACTCCTATTGCGGCTGGTTGAAAGAGGCCTGAGATCTCTTTCTCTCACGGCCTTTGGGGTGTGCTTCGGACTGCTTCTGACGTTGTTTCCGATAAGGGAGTTTCAGTTTCTAACAGCTTTTGGGAATTTTCGACAGAGGCTGGATGAGATCAATTGGCTTTCCGCTGAGTTTCCTTTCTCTGTTTTTTGGACTGTTATGATGAGCAAGGCCCTGGAGCCTTCAGCAATACCTCTGTTCCCTGAGGAATAATTGGCCTACTCCCCGGTTTTATCTCTGTCTGCACAAAAGCCCCGTGTCGCTGGAAAGGAAAACAAAGTTGATGTTAACCAGGGCACACCAGCGGTCGGAAGCAGCTAGGAGCTGAGTCTGTGTATTCGCTCAAGCTCTGGCGACGCAGGCCCTTACTTCCCTGTCTCTCTGCTGCCTGTCACCTTAGCCCCAATCTAGCAGCAGCAAGGTCACTGGCTGCGGAGCTTTACAAATACTGGACAAAACAGGGTGTAACACAAAATGGGCCGAGAGGGGGAAGGCAAAGGAAAAACATCTTATTTCCTGGATTCAATTGATCTATCTCTCGAGTTGTGGAAGACTATTCATACAAGCTTCATTTCTTGCTCCATAGGTTGCTAGGGACAAAACAGAAATGACCATTGATGGTCCTGTGGATAGATAATTGCATCCCAACTACTGATTAGTTTTAGCAAAAGGGTTCATTAACGTGAAATAGGAAAACAATCACCCGTGACTGGGGGGAAATGCTGTAATTGATTGGCTGTGCTTCTACTTGGCTCTGTAAGCCTTTTATGTCTCTGTCCCACATGCACTCACTCAGCAGAAGAGTGTTTATCAAGCTGCTTGTGACATGACCTCGAGTGCATGATTTCAATAATTTAAGTAAACTAAATTACAAAGACTGTGATTTGAAAGTATGGCATCCCTCCTTGGTTTTCACTTTGGCATGTAGCTGAGATTCTAGGCTACCAATAACCATGTTGGAAAAATGAAAATAACTTGAGTTTACCCATAGATCTCCTAAAATGATCAATGATTAATCTGAAACGTGTTCTCACCTTCCCCCGGAGGGGCTCATTGGGAGATTTCCTGGCATCATATTGATGTATGAAAGAGATGCGTTCTATAAACTTGCTTTGGAGTTCTGCTGATACATCAGGAGAGGCAAGCGGAACTAAAAAATATATATTGTGCAGTCAAAACAAAACTGAGGTTTGCAAATGGAAATATAATCAAAATATTCATGCTTTATTAAAAATTCAAATGAAACAACGTTCTTTGGGCCAGTAAGGTTATTCCTCTGGCTGCCATGAAGTCAATCCTGAAGCATAATGACCCTAGTAAGTAGGGTAGCACTTGCCCAGTGTGTTCCTAAGACTGTAAGTCCCTATGAGAGTAGAAAGTCTCATCTTCCTCCCAGTAAGGCTACTTACATGTATCTAAAATAGACAAAAAGGGACTTCAAAAATTCATGGACAAATTCCATGATCCTTAAATTCCATTTTCCATGAGCTTTTTGAAGCCCCCTTGTATAACGGATTCACCATCCTTTTCCTGCATGAAAGGAAAAGCACCAAATCAACGTGACCAAATGCACCCATATGTGGAAATAGTAATCACTTAAAAAACTGATGGTGATGCGACAATGGCTTTCAAAACATACTGTGTAGATCTGCTTCTTATACAGACACCATCCAATCTTTTAGGAAAAGCACAACCTCCTTTTTTTTTAAAAAACATTTTATTAGAGGCTCATACAACTGTTATCGCAATCCATACACACATCAATTGTGTAAAACGCATTTGTACATCATTCTCAAAACATTTTCTCTCCACTTAAATCCCCGACATTAGGTCCTCATTTTTCCCCTCCCTCCCCACTCCCCCCTCCCTCATGAGCCCTTGATAGTTTATAAATGGGTATTTTGTCATATCTTGCCCTGTCCGACATCTCCCTTCACCCACTTTTCGGTCGTCTGTCCCCCAGGAAGGAGGTCACATATAGTTCCTTGTAATCGGTTCCCTCTTTCCTACCCACTCTCCCTTTACCCTCCCTGTTTCGCCACTCACACCACTGGTCCTGTAGGGCTCATCCGCCCTGGATTCCCTGGATTTTCAGTTCCTATCTGTACCAGTGTACATCCTCTGGTCTAGCCAGACTTGCAAGGTTGAATTCGAGTCATGGTAGTGGGAGCAGGGAGGAAATATTTAGGAATTAGAGGAAAGTTGTATTTCTCGTCTGTTGTTACATCACACCCTGACTGGCTCGTCTCCTCCCCAAGACCCCTCTGCAAGGGGATCTCCAGTGGCCTACTAATGGGCTTTGGATCTGCACTCCGCACTCCCCCCATCATTCACTATGGTAAGATTTTTTGTTCTGATGATGCCTTATACCTGATCCCTTCGACACCTCGTGGTTGCATAGGCTGGTGAAGCACAACCTCCTTAAAGCAAGATTTTAAACTCTCTTAAAGATATAAAACTGTATCTCTGTATAATAAATTTTATATAATAAAACTTTAAATAATAAATGCATACTGAATAAAGAGGCATTTTTTATTCTTGGCTAGAATCAAAAAGTATGTTATCAAGAAAATGACATGTCCCTAAATTAATCTAAAACGTGAATGCAAACTTATGGATTTATTTTCAGGAATGTGGTTATTTAAAAGCTAAAAGGAAAAAACAAAGGTCCCTAAATAGAGAGGTCAACTCTGAAAAGGAAGAGAAGGAAATAGAAAATTTCCCTATCGGGGATTAAGGCAAGCTAAAAATACAAAATGAAAAAAGCGAGTGCGGCTCCAAGATCAGAACAGTAACAGAGAGTCCCGAGAGAGACCCGCTCACACATCGGGCAATTCTAGGGGACCCCAAACTCCCTGCCCATGAGTCCACTCCACCTCATAGCCACCCCATATAGGATCTCTCAGATTAGAAAGCTTGATGGGAACAGATAGCCTCATCTTTTTCCCACAGAACAACTGTTAGGTTTGAACTGCTGACCTTACAGATTGTACTGTGCTGGATAAACTAGATAAACAAATTCAGAGGCACTCATATATGTATCAGAAGGAGCTTTATATAAAAAAGTAATTCTACATTAAGAAAACACCCCAGCCCAGTCCAGATCAAGTCCATAAATCCAATATTAATCTATAAATGATACTAATCCAAAAATCCCTTTTCAGACTCACGTAGCACTTGCAATGATGCAAAATGCAGGAAGATCAGTAGGCAGTGGGTGCAAAGTCTTGTGGATGCAGTGTTGGTGGAAACATCTCCAGGGCTCAACGGGGCTTCATGTGGTTTGCCAACAGGAAGGTGAAGCAGAGAGAGGGGCTGGCCTCCAGCGAACCATTTATCTCAAGCCATTTATCTCAGTTGCCCTCCAATCAAGCTGCGACCTGACTGACAGGCTAAACTCCACCCACATGTTCCTATAGGAACCATGTTGGCACAAGAAACCTATCACAGATGTTAGCCCGACACATCCTGCGGTGCAACCAGAGCCGTTTGTTCTAGGAGAAACATGACCGTAAATTCAAACATATTTTATATAAGCTCCTTGATGAAGCCTTAAATAGGACAGAGACAAGACAAATAAACAGGATTGTCGAGGACTTCAGCATAAGGCTATAATGGTGTCCAAAGGATTCACACTCTTATGACCGATAATATATGAAAAGGAAATTGTCACAAAGTCCTGAATGACAGCAGATCAATTCATCACTGTCCCAGGTGGGTCTATAAATGTGGGATGGAGGTTGGCTCTTTGATGGCTTGCATATAGCTCATGCTTATGTGGTCTTGTCTACCAACTTCCATGGAGGGTATGCCCAGGCAAGTCCCCTGAGGGCAAGACTCTCTCCCTGGACTGGCTTTGTTACTGTTGTTAGGTGCCTGAGAGAGTTGGAGATAATTAAGGTTCATTGTGCCAACCTGGCCAATAAACACGTGGGATTAATTGAAGAGCAGAGATAAATGGCTCAGTGAGTCTCGCCTTTCTTGTTCTCTGGTCTCTTGTTCTCTGATGGCCAGATCAGTGTGCGGCTGCCTTAGCTAGGTCTTTGCCTCAGCTGACAAGGCTCACTTCCTGCGAGGCATCCCTGAGGAGAAGCCACATGGACCTAGCCTGATGCAGCCCTGGGTGCTGGAGTAGCCGTGGGGAAAGCCCTGCCAGCGCTGAGATGCTGACACACTCGCTGATTCAGCTTTCCTCCTGCCGTCGGCGCCATTGCGTGTTTTGCAGTTTGAGGAGGACTTCGTAGATTGGTGTCGGACATATGGGCTAGTGTCAGGCTTATGGGCTTGGATTGGACCGGGTAGGGATGCTTTCTTAATGTATGTACACTTACCTTTTATATAAAACTCTCTCTTATATACATATGCATTTATGTGGATTTGTTTCTCTAGTCTACCCAGACTAACACAGTGCCTTGAGGCTTGTACCAACTCATAGAAATTTTACGAATAAATTCCCGGAACTGTGCCATCCTTACGATTGTTGCTCTATTTGAACTCACGGTTGCAGCCACTGTGTCAGGCTATCTCCTCAGGAACCTTCCTCTTTTTCCCTGCCCTTCAACGGTATCAGGCGCTGGTCTTTCCTGGTCACGTGTCCACAGTATCTAAGACAATACCGCACCACCCTGCTTTCAAGGAGCTGGCTCGGAAAGTCATTCGCTTTCAGACATCCTCTCCTTGAGGGTGAAGTTTTCTGTATTGCTCCCAAGTGGTCAGAATGAGCTTGACAGAGACTAATTCCACGTTGTTGAGACTCAGGATGGAATCAGAGTTCCACTGTCAATAGCAGACTTCCACAAACCCATGCTTTAGATTTTAAACTCTAATGGAGACCTCAAAACACAACCAAGAAACTTGAGCAAACCCACGAGAAGAGTGCGGATTGTTTAGCAAATGGTTCAGAAAACTGGTCACTCCATGGAAAACAACTAAGTAGATTCCTTGTTAATATGCCATGTAAGGGTGCATTCTGGGATCAAAGACCTAATTATGAAAGATGAAATTATAAAATCAAGAGGAGCAAGTGTAGAAGAATATTTTGTGACCTAAGAATAGGAAAAAATTTGAATCAATACCTGGAAAGCACAACTCATAATGTGAAAAGTTGACAAACTCTATGACATCCAGATTTAGAATTTCTCTTCTGTGGAGGGGCACTGAGAGCAACCCTGAGCGCGGTGGGTTGGCAGCGGGCGTTTGCGCTGTGAAAACATTCAGGGGCGAACATCAGGGGGAATGGAAACACACAGGCTTCCAAAATGAGCTTTCTCCGAAAACTAACTGCTAAATTTTAAAACCAATAGTCTAGCAGACTAGAATATTTACATGACTATATATAGATCTAAAATAAACCTTCCTGGGAAGGTTTGATTTTATTTACTTTATCATCTCTATATCTCAACCCAAACCTTCCTGGGAAAGAATGAAGTTCAAAATAGAGGTGATCAAATAAATAAAATCGTTTTAATTTGTTATTTTATATGTTATAACTGAAACAAATATGATAATAGTTTGCTAGTATTGAGTTGATAATTTTGGGAAAATATGATTATGCTTATAAACAGTTTAAGAACATTAAAGATAACTGGGCTTACTCTATATAGTTTATTAGATTTAAAAGACTTGCTCAAGAGGTTGGGAAGGTTTGAAGCATAAAGTTTTAAGTTTTCCTTGCCATGTACACAGAATGCAATTAAATCAATGGAGTTGTAGTTTAAGATGTTGATGGATGTAATTGAGCTTATTTGCAAATAAGGCATTGCTCAGGTGTATTCATTTGCTCAACCTGAATTAAATGCACATAAAATAAGTGAAAATTGCCATTTTAATTTCATATGGTATTTAAAATTAAAAGCTTAAGGAAAGAAAATGTTTTTTATGTATAAAATTAAAACTGGTACATTTTTATGTCATAGATAATTATAAATTATATAAAAAGTGCCTCCATGAACATTAAAAATCTTTCCCTGTAGCAGATTACTCTCAAAGATTTAACAATTGGATTACCTAAAGATCTGATCAAAAGAATTCAGAAGACAAAAGAATATTTCTTCAAAGTGTTAATAAATGTCAACCTTGTTCTCTACCCAGCTGTTAGATTTCATTGATGTGATTCCAACTTATCATGATCCTATGTACAACAAAATGAAA